ACTCAAATTTATCAAACGTTTATTTTCGCCTTGAGATACCCAGAGACGCCTCCATATATCGTGCAGCAATAGTCAAAGTGGGAAAATATTAAGGTGACCAGGAATCTACGGATTTCAAAAGGAAAAAGGTGACAGAGGTTATTTAAGTGTTTTCGGGTGGAAATGGTCGGGATGGATGCCTAATATTTCAGAAGTCAGCCAAGGTGCAGTGGGACGACGTACGATTCTGTTTTTTCAGAGGAGTATGGATGTCTAATGGAAAGGGTGGATATCATAGGGGCAATGGAGTTATAGGAAAATATGATATCCTATTGGAGAGGATCAAGGTAAGGTTGAAGGTATTCATATGAAAGGAGTTTTAAATTGCGATATGAAACTATTTTGGGAGTAAATGATTTCAAGGGTCGGTCGTACGAAATTTGTATTAGGTCGTGTTACGATAGAAAGGGTGCGGGGTGTTGAGAGGAGGAAAGGATTTTAAGGGGCTGACTGGCCCCTTAAAATCCTTTCCTCCAGTCAGAGATGTGGAAATCTAACTAGGTGTCAGAGAACTGTGTATGATGAGTGGGAGAATAAAGGACAAGATATTAAGAGAAAATATTAGGTCAGTAAGGAAGTATTTTTCGGAAGATTCTATATGCTAATTTAAAAAAAAAATAATTTGTTTACAGATTTAAATCAGGCTAACCGTGTCATCCCTAAAAGGGTTAGGCTATCTTCGCCCATTAAACAAGACCCAGTGGCGATAGTACATAAACAGAATATAAAAATATTACTTTTTATCCTACGATTATAAGTAACCTAATAACAAACAATCCTCATAAAACCGAAGATAAAATTTAGTTATATGAGAGATTAAGTTGATTCGATTTAAGATATTTTTACAGGGCTAATAAACCTAAGATTAATAAATTGGGCAAATGAATTTAATATATCACAATTTAATAAATCACTCAACCATTGTTAATATATTTAATCTCATTAATATCGTAACTTTGAATTTAATTATTAAAAGGAGGAAAATCTTTTTGTAGATTTTTCATCAGAATTTGAAAATGTGTACAGAAACGCACTTTTTTAATAAACTATATGAAGTAGGAGTTTCCTCAAAGATTATAAAATCAATAAAAGCATTGTATGATGATACTGAAGGCTCAATATGATGCATTAACGAACAGTTTTAAAACAGAGAGAGGACTAAAACAGGGATGTATTATGAATCCATTTTTGTTTTCCTGCTATATCAATGATGTAGAGAATCGTTTGGGGGTGGATTATCTATTAATAACAAAGGAATTAAAATGCTAGCATATGCAGATGATATCGGAATTTCGGCCACAAGCCCTATTGTACTTCAAGAGATGATAAATAATTTGGAAATATATTGTAGGACGTGGAATTTAAATATAAATTTAAATAAATCTAAATATGTCCAAGAGACAGATTGTTATAATAGTCAATAAAGGAAAAAAAATAAAAAATTAAATAAATCTAAAATTATGGTATTTAGAAAAGGAAGGAAACTGGCGAAAAATTAAAATTGGAAATTTAATAAACAAACTATTCAGATAGTAAATTGTTATAAGTATTTAGGGATATTATTAACGCCAAATTTATCAGTGAGTAAGCATTTTGATCAAAAAGTCTCTAAAACCATGATCAGTATTAATGTATTATGGAAGAAGCTATTTACTTATAATAAAATAAATTTGAATGCAAAACTTAAAGTTTTCAAAGCTGCAGTTAGAATTATAGGTTATGGTGCGCAGGTGTGGTGATGTTGTGAATATAAAGAAGTGGAAAAAGTTCAGTACTACTTTATTAAAAAAATATTAAATTTACTCAGGTATACACCTGCATATATTATTCATATAGAAAAGCAATTAGTTCCGTTCTATTTAGAAAATATAAAAGCGCACATAATTATATATGTAGAGTTATGTAGTAATCGAATAATAGGTTACCCAAAATAATAGCAAAAGAGATAATGAAAAAAGAAATAGGCTGGTATAAGGAGATAAAACGTTTAACAAATCTATTGATGTATGGTGTAAATTTAATAAATAAATTTTGATCATAATAACACAAATAAGTGGAATATGCCTTTTCAGAAAGTAAGAGATAAACTGACAATAGAATTATAAAATAGGTTCAAAACCCTAGCAAAAAATTCAGATATAACTAATATATATAAAGACTTGAATCATGATATATCAGGAAACAATTATTTCAATAATAAATACAATGAAACAATAATAAAATGGATATTTAAGGTCAGAGGAGAATTAATAAAATTAAAATGTAGGGTATATTACGAAAGAAATAATAAATTATGTTCATTATACAATATGAATGAAATAAAAAATATCGAACATTTCCTTGGTGTGTGTCCTGTTCTGGCGGAACTTAGGAGAAAATATTTTGGAAAAGATTCCCCCTGACATTTGGGGAAATAATTCCACATTCGACGGAATAAATTGGTTACATCTATCCTATTATTGTAAAGCAGCCTGGCAATACAGATATGCCTTATGCCAAGAATTTAATTATTAATTGATGAATAATGTTTAAGCCGAAAAAATCATTTATATAATTATATTAAAATATCTATATTAAAAAATTGTATGTATTTGTATTTATATATTAAAATTTTATTGTGTATTTATAATTGTGATATTAAGATTTGAACTTTTTTTTCTGTATTTATTAGCATTAACATAGTAGGTTTTAGTTTATATTATTGTATCAATAATACTTGTTTTGCCAAGGCCATCCTCCGGCTGACAGTTTCAAGAACCAAGCCGTAAATATTTTTATATTGAGCTTGGATACTTTTGTTGTTTGGTATTGTATAAATACTCAATAAAAAATTCATTCATACATTCATCCATATTATTAAATTTTAATAAAACTCGTGCAATAGAACGCTAGGTCAGCTATATTAAACAAAGGTAATCTAGAGATGTTTTTATCAGAACATAACATAGATATAGCCATATTAAGCTAAATCTGGTTTCGCCTTAATGTCTATGTCAACTTCTCTGAATAATTATTAAATAATGATTTGATTATTTTGTTTTTGCGGTCATTCATTGTAATGGCTATATATTAATTTAGTAATAAAACTTATGTAAAATAATTATGACATGTATCCTTGCTGATTTGTGAATATATTATTCTGTAAGCTGTCCCATTTCCCACATTTATCATTTATTATATACAATCATACATACATTTATCGGCAGCCGCATCAATAATATTTAATTACATGGGGATTAGCAGTAGTTCGATGACCTCAATGTAAATAAATCAAACGATACAATTACTTTGGAGTTAGCAGTTTGTAGTATATCAGTCTCTATCCAACTGGTATCCGTCTAGTATGCGTCTTGTAAGAAAAATGATTGAAATCAAAACATTGAAGTATGGTATATAAATAATTATATCTATTAAAAGTAACACAATCAACATCGATTGACCTTTCAGGGTATCAGCTTAATTCAATAAAAATCATTAACAGCATTAACCCATATATCATTCACAAATATTCCTCCAGACTCATTTTTTTTTTCATATAAGAGGCATTTACCGGTACCTCCAATATTGTTTATTTGGTGCCCCGGGTAAGGAATATTCGTGAATGAAAATATTGTTAACGTCCGTGTTTCATTTTATTTAATATTTCAGTATCATTCTATATTTTATTTTATTGATTTATTTTTACTTTAAATTAAATGCAATGCAGATATTAATTAGATTTCAATATTAACGGGATTCATTGATGCCAATGCTGTACTTAAAGTACGTAATACTGATAGGCTTAAGGTGGCATTGAGCAGTTAAGTATTGTCCCTAATACCATTTTAAATCAATATTAGGGCCACCTAATTATACTAAGCATAACTGGTAAGCTTACTTCCAGCCGTATTTAAAATCTCTTTTTTTACATCTTTTAAGTCTCCAGTATCCAAATGATTTAAATTGAGGTCCCGCTTTATAATTTATGATTATAATTAATCCATAACGGATTAGTACATTGTCTCAGCTTTTAGCTCGAATGTATAATAATACTATATTATTATATAATACATTAATATTTAATATAATAATATTAATATATATATATATATAATAATAATATATAATCTTTAGCATAAGCTGTTAATATTACAACTATTCAGTCCGTAGTTATGCATAATAATATACGTACATTTAAAATTCACTTATTAAAATTGTTGTTTCATTTATGTAAGTACAAGGAATTTTATTTCAGCTTAATTTATATGTATTTTAATTGTTAAAACATTTACATATATATTTATTAGTGTAAAGTATGTGCATGTTTTATTATCTCTTTCACATGTTGTTGTTAATGTACATACATATATATATATAGATATATTAACTTACACGTATTTTTGAATTATTTATATTTCATTTGTTCATATACATAAATATTTATTTATCAGATTTATATTTCGCCATCTAATAATACTTTAGCATATTTGAGATTCAAATTTACCTATAAATTCTTTATTCCAATTTATTTTTGTTTACTATACGATTTGAAACTTTAAATCTGTCAAATTCTCAAGTTGTCGGATACAAGTATATTTAAGATTTACTTTGGGCTTGTTATTTACATATTTATATCTTTAGTAGTAATCTCTTAAATCATTAATTAGTTAAAAACCATGATTGGAGGAAATGAACATTTGAGCAACTTATCTGGTCACAGTGACCCCCCTTGAACGTAAAATTCTACATCTAAAGCGCGGCCTCCAAAAATTATTTATCCAAGGCACGGATGTTGACGGCAAGGACTTGACACCGATAAGCAAAATACACTCCTTAAAAAATGCGCTTATCGGCGAGCCTCATACTCTAGCTCATACCAACTTGACTGAGACGCTCTCATGCGGGAATACGACACGTTGCCTCCAGAAAATTTTAAATCACAAGGTCCCTGATTGCAGCAGCGAATATACGAAACATTCCGCTTACCTCGCAGCTGGAGAAGAAAGCACCGAGAGCATCCGCGCGTTTGCTATAGAAAACGAAGATGACGTCATAATGTCCACCTTGGCTTTCCGCGCTTTACACCCGGCCAATAGACGGCAATTTAAGTTCTCACACCTGAGCAGCGAGTTCCTCCACCACGGATGAGGTCATGGCCAAAGAATTTCAAGCTACTCCTTCTGAAATGCCACGTGTCCAATCCTCGAGTAGATGAATATCTGGAGTATCCTTGCTTGGAGACTAAAATGGATGATGTTCGCCCCACCTCGTTCAAATATTCGGCATCGACGTCCGTTCCAAACGAACGGCATCGAATAAAGGCATGAAGAGTCGTTCCCGGCGACGACGATCGCGTGAGGGAGTTCCGCAGAGTAAACCCTTCACGCCCAGTAAATATTCGTGCCATCAATGTAATAGTAGACATCACCTGGCGCAGTGTTTTTAGATTCCTTGCGCTGCTGATCGGAGACCGTTGCAAATTGAATCTACGAAATTAGTTATTTTTACACAGTATCTTTTTGTTATTCTTATATCTTCCAAACTCTGTGAACAGTTAAGAATCGCCCTATTCCTAGGTAGACTAATTAGTACATATATTCCATCCGTAATTCGCAAACATTTTGTTTTCCATACATGACAATAATAGAAACATTATCTTCATTTGACCCTTCATCTTCTTATGTAACGTATGTTATAGTCGTAACGACCAGGTATTCTCACCATTCTATTCTCACCATTAAAACAGAAGTAGTGAATGAATTATCAATAGTTCTTAATTATGATAAGATAGAAGGCTCTCTTATCCATTGTTATTTAGCTTTACCGACATTATCAGTAGATTCAGAACCATTCCATATCTTCCCGTAATTCTATAACAGCCGTTCTGAAACTGGTCATTTGTACATAGTATCTTTTTATTATTCATTTATCTTCCAAATTCTATGAACCGTTAAGGATCGCTCTATTCCTAGATAGAATAATTGTTAAATTTGCACATGTTTTGGTGACAGAACTGTGCCTTTTGTTTCATTGGTTCTGTTAAAAAACATTTTTAAAAAAACTATTTCATTATACTTGTGTGAAAGAAGAAGTAAAATATGAAATCATATTATGGATGTATAAAGCCTATGTTATAACCTTAAATACATTTACTGTAGTTTAATAATTCTAGATCTGATATTATATTTAAATAATTAGGTATCAACGTCCGTAATCTCCGAAATATTGTCATGTAACTTTTTAGAGCTTAAATGTTGTGCCGGATACCACCCTAGCAGGTTAACGGTTGGCATTTCCTTGCGTGCAGGTATTCGATTGGTATTCGATACCTTGTAACCTTTGTTAGGACCCTTGGACTTTTTAACCTCCTTATCGTCTTCCTTTTCAGCAGGCTTTTCGTCCTTTGGCTTAGGTTCATCAATAGTCTTCCTTTTATAATAACCTCTGTTTGGCATTGTAACTAGTGGATAGTTTTTAAATTTATGAGATCCCAAAAATTTTGGTATTCGATACCTTTTAACGTTTGTTAGTTTCTCAAGCTTAAATATGATAATAAACAGTGGACATGAAAGCAATATTCTCGGAACGGGTTTCATGATCAGGAAATCTATGATGTATTTACTGTTGGCAAACGATGGTTTCAGAAAGAATATGGGTGATTCGACTAAAATGAAAATTATTCAATACTTCTATCATCGCTTTCTATTTTATCGCTTCTAGCTTCGCTAATTCTATTTTAAGCATTGCTTGATTTAAAGGTTGAAACTTTCTAAAAGTATCGGCATAGCTCCGAAACAACAGGTCGATGCTATCGCTTTTAGCTCGCTTCTCTTCTAAATAGTCTATTACTCTGTGAACATCATTTATTGGAAGTTTAGATCTATTTAAATTACTATGTTTCAAATTTTTTTAGGAGAGTGGTGGTGGCATTTCCGACGAAGTTGAGAGTAAATTATGTTCGGTGGAGTAACTTTTACACCCTTTTTGTGCCTCAAATAGTTATCTCTTAAACCTTTCCATCTCTTTTTTATATTGCAATATAAAATAATAAAATGAATACAGATAAACTTTAGCGTTCACAATCGTCTGAATGAGTAGAAGAGAAAAATTGAAACATACCTAATATATCTCAATTTTCTATCTAACTACTCCATTCTCAATGTTTTTAATTTTACTATTTATTTTATTTTCATTTCTTATATAACTTTGTATTTCTTTTTTAGGTTTTTTACATTTTATTCTAAGATTCCCAATGTAACACTTTTGTCACCCCTTTTTGATTATGCCTACTTCATCATTCCACACTATGTAACAGTTTTTATTATTTATCTCTTAGTTCTTAGTCATTATTCTAACAATTTCATTTTACTTTATATCTATCTATTTTATTTTTCTAATAATTTTTTTTTCTCATTTTTTATTATCTTTTTTACCATCATTACTTATGTTTCTCATACCTTGTTATCTGGTTATTTTCTTAGCCCTGATGAAGGCCTGAACTTCAGGTCGAAACGTCGGCATATGTAAAAAATAAATATTATAATTTATTTTTTGCCTTCCTTTTTTGACTGAGCACCCCAACTATTCTTCTCTTCATTATCCACGACAGTCAACCAATTACCAATTATTATACATACCTAATATACGTTATGGATTATTGGGAAACTCCACTGGATAAACGAAAAAAAGGCGATAGAGGGTTTATTCCCGAGCCTCGTATTGAAAAAATCTCGTCCAGTTTTGACTCTTTCCTTCCCTTGATCCACGAGGATTATTATAATATCGTATCATCCAATCGACCTTTTGGAAAAGCTGTCTCCCTACCAACACTACAGGCAGTGGCTCCACCAAACATAATTTACCCACAACTTCGTCGGCAATGACACCACCACTCTCCCAAAAAATTTCGAAACATAGTAATTTAAATAGATCTAAACTTCCAATAAATGATGTTTACAGAGTAATAGACTATTTAGAAGAGAAGCTAGTTAAACGCGATAGCATCGACCTGTTGTTTCGGAGCAATGCTGATACTTTTAGAAAGTTTCAGCCTTTAAATCAAGCAATGCCTAAAATAGAATTAGCGAAGCTAGAAGCGATAAAATAGAAAGCGATGATAGAAGTATTGAATAATTTTCCTTTTAGTCGAATCACCCATATTCTTTCTGAAACCATCTTGTATGCCAACAGTAAATACATCATAGATTTCCTGATCATGAAACCCGTTCCGAGAATATTGCTTTCATGTCCACTGTTTATTATCATATTTAAGCTTGAGAAACTAACAAACGTTACAAGGTATCGAATACCAAAATTTTTGGGACCTCTTAAATTTAAAAACTATCCACTAGTTACAATGCCAAACAGAGGTTGTTATAAAAGGAAGACTATTGATGAACCTAAGCCAAAGGACGAAAAGCCTGCTGAAAAGGAACACGATAAGGAGGTTAAAAAGTCCAAGGGTAAGACGAATAGTCAGCAAAAACGAAGAGACAAATCGCAGAAGCCTGCAGTGACCACCCCGTTACCCCTACAAGTAAATAAAACGAGTGAACCACCACTACCTAGGCATCTTGCAACCAAACAGACTCCATAAAGCAATGATCCAATGTACATGGAATCTTTGGTGTTCGAAGGCAATAGAGGGTTTATTACCGAGCAGCGTATTGAAAAAATCTCGTCCAGTTTTGACTCTTTCCTTCCCTTGATCCACAAGGATTATTATAATATCGTATCATCCAATCGACCGTTTGGAAAAGCTGTCTCCCTATCAACCTATGCATATTACAATATAATGCATCTGTGGGCTAGAATATTTGCAAATTTAAGACACAGAATATTAGTAAATGTCGATGAAGAGCGATTTTTGCAATTATTCGAACATGATCTTTTCCCGGTGACAGTACCTGTGAATAGTTACCTGCGGTGTATAGGTGACTTTACCGACACCAATGGAATTAAGCATCAGCTAGCAGTACCATCACCTAATAAAGATGGTGATTTTGGAAAGATTAGCGATGTAACTCACAACTTTTATTAGGCCTACCCCGCTTCCCGTTTTGCATTAGAGCGTATTCGCAAAAGGCAAAGATATGGCCTTCACGAAGAAGGAAATCCTGATGCAATTTGGGAGATACCTACATTACGTCCTGCATCTGCGATTATTATCGATCAGCCGTTGCCGGCACCAGAACATCAGAGGCCAGGACCAGCTAGAGAGTTAGTCCAACCACGCGTCCAAGATGACACTCATCTACTTGAAGCCACTGAGGGTGTTCAAATTGAAAGTGATTATCAGGATGCCGAAGAAGTCTTAATTGATGAGGCGCCTGCACGCAAGAACATGCCAACCGTTAACCTGCTAGGGTGGTATCCGGGACAACATTTAAGTTCTAAAAAGTTACATGACAATATTTCGGAGATTACGGACGTTGATACCTAATTATTTAAATATAATATCAGATCTAGAATAATTAAACTACAGTAAATGTATTTAAGGTTATAAACATAAGCTTTATACATCCATAATATGATTTCATATTTTACTTATTCTTTCACACAAGTATAATGAAATAGTTTTTTTTTTTTTTAAATGTTTTTAACAGAACCAATGAAACAAAAGGCACAGTTCTGTCACCATGTCTCCACTGCCAAAGCATGTGCAAATGTAACAATTATCCAGGAACTATCCAGGAATAGAGCGATCCTTAACTGTTCACAGAGTTTGGAAGATATATGAATAATCAAAAGATACTGTGTAAAAATAACCAATTTCAGAGCGGCTGTTATAGAAGTCAACTCAACCAATCATGAGTAATTTGACCAAATGAGATTTCTTTTACTTGTTTCGATCAACTGTAGCAGATAAAAATCAGAATTCCGCTCAATCTTTGTAGCTGTATCTGTTACTCAAAATATCTAATGCTTCTCCAAATTATGCGATGGTATTGAATGGTTCAGAATCGAGTGATAATCTCGGTATAGCCGAATAACAATGGACAAGAGAGGCTCCTAGCTCATCATAATTAAGAAACATTGATAATTTACGACTCCTGTTTTAGTGGTGAGAAATATTATTCCTTGGTATTATGAGTATAAAAATACGTTTCACAGCAAGATGAAAGATCAGGTAAAGATACTGTTTCCATCATTGTTATGTATAGAAAACAAAATGTTTGCGAATTACGGATGCAATATATATGTTGAAAAACGCATAAAAAAATAATAAAATATGATGGGTTTATCCAAGTGATTTAATATAACTCAAGATTATATTTTCTGTAAAACTAAGTCAGAATATTTTTTTTTCTTGTTTCGTTATTTTATATATTCCAGCTATAATAAAATGAGTACAGATTAAAGTGTATCACAATCGTCTGAATGAGTAGAAGAAAAAAATTGAAATATACGTCATGGATTATTGGGAAACTCCACTGGATAAACGAAAAAAAATAGGTAATGCTGAATTCCAGGATTTAGTATTGTTCAGGGATCATCCCCTGAAACATATAAAGTAACAAATGAAAACAATTTTACAATTCAGAAATTCACCGCCATTTTGCTGCAAACTAATCCTCTTGAGTTAATCTTATTTCATTGGTGAAGTGTGCACACAGTCAGGTACTCTCCTCAGAACTCACTAAAAAGGAATAAAAAATGAGTTGCTGATGGAGGAAAAGAACAGCCTGATGGAGGAAGTATGGGAAAGAAAAAGAGGAGGCCAAAACCATGAATCTCAATTTCAGACAGCAAGTGAGTCCAAATTGACAATTCAATTATAATCAAGCAAAATCACTTATAAAATTACAATGCCATGCTAAAAATTGTAATTTCACAATCAGTAATATGTACTTAATCCGTCAAGAACCACAAAATTGTACAAACTCACAAATTATATTTCTTTTGTTTTATTCAATTATATGCAATTAATCATTTTCTCGATATTTTGTTTAAATTAATCACGTAATAAACTTCAGTGATTTAACCTCAGTCCACACCAATTCTCACAATCACCAGTGCAACATAATTCAATTACGGACCAATGGGCAATATTTGGCTCACACCAAATTATCGTGACCAAACAAGAATTAAATAAAGAATAACTTATGAAAGTTTTATTTACGTAACTATATAAAACCCAAGTGTTGGATTTACACCCAAAATCGTATTGTTTATTGTATTGTAATTTGACCTGTGTGAATAGCACGAAGGGCCCCTGGTCTCATCCTGCACTACCCCCTCACTAAGATGGCGTTATCTACGCCTAAGGGTCAGATGCTAGCGAACGAAGTCAAGAACTGGACGACTTACGGCCTACCTCATTACATACCTCGAGAGTTACAGCCCTTCGGCAACACTATTTCCAGGACCCTGGGCGAACGGCGGAGAGAGAGAGAGAGAGAGAGAAGGCGCGAGAGCGGCCCCCTCATCAAACTGTACGTATATAATTATTTATTCACAAATATTCCTCCATAGAACATTTATGTTTATATTTCACAAGAAAAGGGCTCCCGGGCATATTGCATGTACCGGGTCCCCCAATATTGTACATATGGTGCCCCGGGTGAGGAATACGTGTGAATAAAAATACTGTAAACATACGCACGCCCATCTTTTCAATAGTTTGATTTCTTTAATGCTCAATTTAACTCTCGGTACATCTCGATTATTTTTTTTATTTTTAATGAATTATTAATATTTAATATTAAAGGCCAATTTTGCATTTAATTATTTAATTATCGTAATGTTAAACGGCTTAAGCAGCTAGCAATTGAGTATTGTAGGTAATCCTATTTGAAGCAACATTTACGACTGCATAATTCTATTAAGCAAAACAGTCATACTTACTTCCGCCGCTACATCTAATTTTTTCTTTTGTGCGTACTTTAATTCTCCAGCATCCAAATAATAACAGATCTCGCCATAGAATTATAAATTTATAAGTGTGTTTAATTAATGAGCATTACATGTTTTCAGCTATCGGTTTTTTTTTTATATTGGTTTATATACGTGTACAGCAATATCGTGCAGAATATTGCAACCTATAATTTTTCTAATTACAATCGTTGCATCATTATTAAAATTGTTTCATTTAACGTATAAACAATTTTACTTGAACATTATTTATATGTATTTTAAACCATCTTCAGCGCGGTCTCAACAAATTATTTATCCAAGCCACGGATATCGGCAGTGGGAACTTCTTCGAATACGAAGTAATTTGTGAGGAGGCAAACCTAATGTGGAATAAATTTTAAATTATATGGAGGAATTAGATGCTCTCTACACGTCCCAGGGTACTTCAGCCTACCCGCCCGACTGGAAAACAGACTATGACGCCATTCAGGGGGAACTACGGAGAATAGATGCGGGATATCGGAGGTTAGGCTCGCATCGCGCCGCGGTTGATAATAACGCCAAGTCTGGCTCAATCCCCTAGCTGTATGCGCCGCAACTTCCGATCATAGACGGGCCGGTTTTTAATGGAGATTTGTCGACGTGGACGTGGTTTCGCTACACCTACGTGTCCCTAATCCACGACAACTCCCACTTAACGCCGATAAGTAAAATCCATTACTTAAAACATGCGCTTATCGGCGAACCGGCGTCGCTTCTCTCGGCGTTCTCTTTCCATTCCGGCTCATTACAGCAGGCGTGGGAAGCTCTCGTGCGAAAGTATGACAATCCGCGCGTTCTCGTCTCCTGTTGCCTCCAGAGGATTATAAATCATAAAAGTCCCGCTTCCGGAGGTGAATATTCGAAGCATTGCTCGTACCACACGGCTGTAGGTGAGAGTATAGAGAGCTTCCGCGCGTTAGCTCTGGAAAACGAAGGAGACGTAATAATGTCCACTTTAGCACTCCGCGCGTTGGACCCTGCGACTAGACGGCAATTCGAACTCTCACAAGCGAGTTCCCCACCGCGGATGAGATTGTAGCTTTTGTGAGGCATCGGATGATGTCTTCTAAGATGGCCCACGAGTACGAAGCGGTGCATTTAGACGCGTCACATGTCCAAGCCACGAACAATATAAGATCAGAAATGACCTTGCTTACCAGCAAAGCGAATGTTCGTCCCACCACGTTCAAATATTCGACATCACCTAAACGGACGGCTTCGTACAAGGATATGATAAGTGGGTCCCAACGCCGACGATCACTAGAGGAGATTCGCAGGAGTAAATCCGTCTCATCCAATAACGATCCGTGTCCTCACTGCAGAGAGAAGCATCATCTCGCGCGGTGTTTCAAATTTCTCGCGCTGACAGTCGAGGAACGCTACGAATTCGTAACGTGGAGTAGACTATGTCACAACTGTCTTAGATCCGGTCATCGAAGTTCGGAATGCTTTTCCGCATATACATGCACTTTTTGTGGCGAAAAGCACCATGGCTTGTTGCATAAGAAAAGTCGTTCCGATTTGAACACCAACGAAACTTCCGTGGAGGTTGCCGATTTCGTCGTTCACGCTCGCGGCGCCTCTGTTTCGTCTGGCTCCTCTTCTGAGGCACTAATGGGCCCGGCATAAGCGGTGCTATCCAGATCTAAACGTGATGCCTCGGCGCGTCTGTTGCTGGAATCTGGCAGGATACACTTT